TGTTTAGCTGTTTTTCGAGGAAGGGAAGAAGGAAGGAAGGAAAGGGAAGGAAGGAGGGAGGAAGGGAAGGAAGGAAGGAGGGGAGGAAGGAAGGAGGGAGGGAAGGAAGGAAGGAGGGAGGGGAGGAAGGAAGGAGGGAGGGAGGGAAGGAAGGAGGGAGGGAGGGAAGGAAGGAGGGAGGGAGGGAAGGAAGGAAGGCAAGGAAAGGAAGGAAGGAAGGAAGTTTTTAAAAGTTTACTCTATGCTAGGCACCTTACTAAGCACTCAGGATACAAATACACATAAAAAGACAGTTCCTGCCCTCAAGGAATTTATATTCTAATAAGGGAATACTAGACAGGAAAGGGAGCTGAAAAGTTGAGTGAGGGGGGATGAGGGTTAGTAATGAACGTACTCTGCTAGTGGGGCATGGCTTTGAAGTACAGAAAGTCAGGAACAGGGCTGGGAAGAAAATGAAGGCAGGTTGGCCTGGGCCTTTCTGCAAAATGGAGATTCCAACAGGAACTCATCAATGGGAGAAAGGAGAGGGGTGGAACGGCCCTGGAGAAAAGAAAATCAGGAACAGGGGTAGGAGGAGAACGAAGAGGAAGAAAGTTAAATGGGAGGGCAAATTATTGAGAAGCAACTGGTGTGAATAAAGTACCAATTCATTTGTTTTTTATAAGCACCTGCTCTGTACAGCTTTCCAAGAACTGTACTCTTCAAAAAAAGAGTGAACAAAACGAACCTTGGTCCACTTTCTCCAGCACGTTGAAGTGAGTGATCTTGTCTCGCACTTTGAAACAGAAGTAGAGAAGTGAATTCTGAACTGAGAGCCCTTATGAAGCATGAGACTGTACTATTTTCCTGGAAGAACCTCATCTCAAGTGATCCTTTTCCTACAGCTGGAGAGAATTCCTTCTTGAACTCCAGGGGCATAAGGTAAGACATGATTTTTCAGTGTAACACTTTTCACTGGTTAAACTCGCCCCACCCCAATAAGTTTCAAGGATATATGACCTAAGTTTAAAAAGTCATATAATTGATCAAATTTATATTGAGCGCTTTGTCTTAAACACCATTGCCTTCTATGTACCTGTGCTGGGCACTGGGGATACAAATAAAATGAATGAAGCATCCTTACTCATAAGGAGTTTACTTTATAAAGGGAAAGACATCAAAACCAAATTTGATTCAGAATAAATACAAATAAATAGGTCTAAGGCCTAGAACTGTAATTTTCATTGGTATAGAGAATTCCTGGGGTGAGGTTACTCACTCTACCAATGCAGACTGGCACCTTCTTTACACCTTTCAAAGTCTTAAGAGTTTTCTAGAGCAGTGGTGTCAAACTGAAACAAAATAGGGGCCATTAAACTGTACTTAAGGATCCTTGTAGACTGCATATTGATGGCTTTAAAAAGGAATTATTATCTATGTTTTAGTGTATTTTTATTTATTTTGTTAAATATTTTTCAATTACATTTTAATCTGCTTTGAGCAGCACACAGCCTGGGCTGTGTTTTATACTTCTGGTCTGGAGCACTAGATGTTAGGTGATTTGCCTAGAGTCAAATAGCCAACATATGTCAAAAACAGGGCTTGAACCCAGTTCTTCTTCATTTCAAGGCCAGTACTCTTTCCACTATCTCTCTAAAAGTAAATACCAAGTAGTTAAACACAAGATAGTTTGAGAGGGAAAGCACTAGCAGTTGGGGAGGTCAACAGGCAATCACAACATCATAAGACTTATGTGAAAACCAGGTTTATTACAAGAGAGTGAATATGCATGTGGAACCAAATGAGTTCGCAGAAGTTTGCATATTTATGACAGTACAACAAAAGGAGAAGGAGGACACAGGAAGAGGCATGGCTCGAGAGAGGAAAGGTGCAGTAACCCCTCCTGAAAGGCAAGGCAATGGCAAAAAGTCTCATTCTTTTCCCTTGGGAGCCACTGGACTATGAAGATAGGAGGGGAGGGTCCACTAATCTGCAAAGACCTCAGCTGAACAAACATTATCCCAGCCTGGCACAGACTGACTGGTGCCTGTCTTGCCCCCCCCCCCCCAAGGACACACAGGGAATCCAGCTTGAGGTGCACACATCAAATTATGTCAATTGTGTGTGGTGGGTTGCTTCATCCTTGACACATTCAGGGCCTCCTGCATGCTCTGGGTCCAGTGTTTCTGGAAAATATGGCACCTCCATGTAGAAGGTAGTGTTTAAACTGGGATGATATGAGGCAGAGGTGAAAAGGCAGTGTGTTCTAGACCTGGAAATAGGGATGGAGTGGCCAGAGCAAAGGCACAGAGATGGGAGTTGGCCAATGTGGCTGGATCACTGAATGTTGGAGGGAGAATAATGTACCATGAAATTAGAAAGACAGTTTACGGCAAGGTTATAAAAGGATTTTAAAAGCTAAACAGAGGCATTTGTATTTAATCTTAGAGCAATAGGGAGCCACTGGCGTTGATTAAGTAGGGAAATTATTTGATCAAATCTGCACTTAAGAAAATTACTTTGACAGTAGTGTGAAGGATATCATGGATTGGGGAGAGACTTGAGGGAGGGAGACCAGTTAGCAGTGTTTTAACTGGGAAGTGATAAGGGCCCAAACTAAGGTGATAGCTGCGTTAATAGAAAGGAGGAATTGGATTTAAGAGATATTGTGAAGGAAGAAACAGTAAGATTTGTCAACTGATTACATATGTAGGGTGGGAAAGAGTATGGAGTCTAGAATTATGCCAAGGTTACAAGCCTGGGAGACTGGAAGAGAGGTGGTATCTTGGAAAGAAAAAAGGAAGTTTGGAAAAGAAGTGGGTTTGGGAGAAAAGATAATGAATTCAGTTTTGGGCATATTGAGTTTCAGTCTCCAGGATATCCAGTTTGAAAAGTCTAATAGGCAGCTGATGATGGGGAATTTAAACTCAAGGGAGAACTAGAACTAGATATATAGATCTATGAGTCATTGGCATAGAGGTGATAATTAAACTCATGGGACCTGATAAGGTTGTCTAGAGAGAAAGTATATAGAGAAAAGAGTAGGGAGCCTAGAACATAGTCTTGGGGAATAACTGTAGTTAGTGATTAGGTTTGTTACATCATTTAAAAAAAGGAGAATTGAAGGAGCCATCTTGTGCAATTATGGTGAAGTTGGGGAGGGGGGAGATGCTCTCCAAGGGAGAGAGGTAATCATAAAAGATCGGATGAACACTTTGATTACATGAATTGAAAATCTTTTGTATAAACAAAATCAATGCAGCTAGAATAAGGAGGGAAATCATCAATAAGGAAAAAATTTTTATGTCAAATATCTCTTATAATACTCTGATATCTAAGACATATGGGGAATTAACACAAATATATAAGATCAAGAACCATTCTCTAATAGATGAGTAGTCAAAGGATATGAGTAAACAGTTATCAAAAAGAATTTCAAAGTACTAACAACCAAATAAAATTTTGCTCCAAATTGTTAATGATAAGAAAAATGCAAGTCTAAACATCCACAAAGCTTCACCTTACTCCCTGAAAATTGTCAGGATGACAAAAGGTGGAAATAGTCAATGTTATAGAGCCTGTTGGAAGCCAGACATGTTAATAATACACTATTGATGGAGCTGTGGATTGATCATATCTAGATGATAAACCTCCTCCAGCTGATCAGATAACAGATAAACTGTTCATGTATCTTGTACTACCTAATTATTTTCATGTTATCTGTACCACTAGAATGTAAGCTTCTTGAGGGCAAGAACTGTTTTTTCCTTTCTTTGTGCCCAGCACATAGTAATCATTTAATACATGCTTGTTGATTAGTTGATTCTGAAACTCCAAAACATGTTAAAAGTCAAGAGTGGCTCTTGACTCAATATCCAGAATCATGCCTCCATTGCCTTCACTCATAGAGAGAAGTATTTTAGAGAACACTGCCTACTTCCTGTTTACTATGTGTAGAACTAGTTTTAGTACAATACAATCAATCAATCAACATTTATTATATACCTACTATGAGCCAGGTACTATTATAGGTCCCAGGGATATAAAGACAAAAACCAACACATTCCCCACCCTCAGGAAACTTACATTCTATCATGGGAAAATACATGTATATGTGAGTAAATATAAAATATGTGCAAAGTAAATATCAGGGGCTTGTGTGTGCATGTGTGATGGTGGGGAGTGAGAGGGAAGGTAGCACTAGCT